TTATCGGTCTGGTCTATTTCCACCCATAGGTATGGTGCACTTTAGTGAATTTTAGAACACTGTAAGGTACAATGTACTTAAATGGAATACATAATACAACAAGGTATCGTGCACTTAAGTGAAATACGGTACCCCATAAGGTACAATGCACTTAAGTAACTTACAACTCACACAAGTGGTTATATAAATAGAACCCTTATGCAAAAACCTTTCATTTGATGCAAACTTGTTTTGAACTTTATTTCTCTCAAAGTCTTCATTGTAGCAGTTAACACTGAGATTGAAGGCACTTTATTCATGTGGACTGAGTAGAGGTGTTGTCCTTCATTCAACACTCCTGATCATTCCTCTAATTCTGCATCAAAAGTGTTAATCGTCACAAGAGATAATTGTTCTATCATTGATCATGCATCATTCGTAAGGATTAGCTAAAGAAAATTTTTTGTTTTTCGTTGCACTTTGTATAACGATTTCCCTTATCAACGTTCCAAAATTGAAAAATAACACATGTGTAACCAATTTCACAAATATGCAAATCGGTTACGCTATAGAAAAACATCAAAAAACTAAAAGAGAAGCAAAGTGCAACTTGTGTAGTTTATGTCAACCCATTACAATGTCAGACATACCGAAAACCTATTAAAGTTATGGTATATCTACAAAAAAAACCATCAAAATTTGAACAGTACAAATGTAGCATTCTGAACTAACGAATATTTCAACACTGCACTTAAAATCCGATATACCAGAATTTTTAAAAATTTTGAAAACTTTTATTGTTTCTCGATTCTTTCGAAATAAACGGTAGATAATATAGAATTTTCCAAAAATATCAAATTTTAGGGAAAATCTAGTGTAAATGCATCATTTTTTTTTATAAATTCAATAAAAATTTCCTAAAACTCCGATTTTTTTTTTTATAAATATGTTGTTAAAGTTTGACAAAAATTGTAACAATTTTCTACAAATACTGATTATTTCAAAAAAATGTAATAAAAACTCATATCGCATATTTATATATTCGGTAGAATTGCTAAAATTTATGTATGATTTTTTCGTATCAAATATTTAGATATAACCATCAATTTCTTGCTTCTTACATCTTTCTCCAAAGTGTTTTTTTTTTACCAAAAATAATTTTTGGGTAGGTAAATAAATAGAAAGATATTCTTGCCAATATTAAAATACGAAGGTGCAAGATTAAATTTAACCCAATATCGTTTCACTATTCCGGTTTGCATTGAACCGGTCGGTTTTAATAACACCGGTTAAATTACCTTACCTGGTTGCAATCCGCGAAGCTGCAATTTGATTTGAAAGAGCGAAAGGGAAAAAAAAATATTTTGGGTGTTCAGTTTTCACAGTACAAAACTTCTCTTTCAATTTTTTATTCAATCGTTTCCAATTTCTTCCAAAGAACCGAAACATGGATGCGCAAGCCAAGAAAAGAGCATAAGTTTTACCCACGACCTAAACTTAAGCAGCCTTCAGACTAGCAGTTCAAAATTCCTCAAAGTTCACAAGTGCCTAGACCTCAGTCATCTTCATCCGTTCTTCCACCGAATTTTTTTGATAACAATGATGCAAAGAAGATGAGATCGGGTAAGAATTGGTTTAGAAAAATGAAGTTGTAGCTGTTTCATGCTATTTTATTGTACATTTAAAATACAGAGTTGCACTAGCACACCATAAACACAGTCACAGACAAATAAAATGATTGTTCCTACCTACGCATATTTTCTGTGCAGGTATTTAACATTCGTCTTCTTCATTTACACATTTTTGAGAGGTTTAATTGAGGGATTAAGGACAAGTTTTAGGTCAAAACTAGAAAAGGTCATGGGTTGCTTCAAGCTGGTCGTACTCTAGGGCAGGCCGCAGGGTTACAACATGGTGTACTACACAAATCATACAAATTTGTGATCCTTGGTGTGCGCGGTGTTAGAGTGATTGGTTTGATAATTGCACTATCTGCATTGTCATATCTTTATTTTCTTTGTACTGGGTTGTTTCTGTTAGCTTACATTGCAGTAGTTTGTGTGGTTGTGTTAAGCTTTTGGTAGTTAGAATCTAGAGCATTCCTAGTCAGTTAGTAACCCTTTGAAATTGTTTGAAGCTTCCTAATCAAATAAAGTTGCTAACTGTGTTAAGTAAGCTTGGTACCAACTATTCAAAATCCATGTCTGAGTATACAAAATTTTCGACCACATTATCCACCGCCACTAACAAATGCCACACCATCTTCACCATCTTAAAGAAACCAATCCATCATATAAAAACACTCAGATGCTATTATTTTGCAATGTATTTATGACATTATATCTAGTGATTTTTTTCATATAAAAACACTTAGATGCTATTATTTTGCAATGGATTTATGACATTATATCTAGCGATCTTTTCTATACTGTTATCGAACGTGACTCTACTGCACTACTTCCTTAAATTGTCTCTTTGCTATATCTTTTGATAACAAAATTTATAAAGCTTTCTATTTAGAGAAAGAATTTTCAAAGATTAGCGGTCAACAATTTTCAAATGCATGATCATATTGTCAACCGATCAAGTTTCTTTATGATCAATTTTTCAGTGTTGGTGCTCTAGTTTCAAACGAATATATGGTGCTTCAACTAATCTCTAGTCTTTTCAATATCCACGTCATTGTTGACTCTCAAATCTGTTATTCTGATGCTCTTCCTCCTTTTCACAAGGTTCATTATAAAATTGTTTTGGAAAAAACGACACATGCAAAACAAACGACACATGCTTAAAAGGTTTGTCAGATCATATGACATTTTTGTGACTTGGATAACAATGATGTGTTGCTAGATACCGCTCACTATTTATTATATTAAATTTGTTATTTAATATAGTTATAAACTTCACGAAAACCTATTAGGTCACACATATAAGAATAGATTGATGAGAGATAGAATAAATAAGTTAAATAAAGAACACCTTAAGGTACGGTTATGGGTGAAAATAGTCTGGGCCGAGTTAGGCTTTGCCAAGCCTAAGCTTGACCTGCCAAAAAAACTAAAGCCTAAGATTGACCTGTAGCTTGTCATATGCTTATTTTTAGGCCTGAGTCTGACATTTTCTAAGACCTGGTTAACCTGTTAGCCTACATAAAAGTATGTTATTTTAAATAGACTAATAAACTAAAAAACCAATGAGACTAAAAGTTTGTTTACATTGACTTACTTTAACTTACTTATTAGCATAAGTTTTTGTGAAATTATTTGTTTAAGATAACTTATAAAAATAACTTATAACATTGTTCATTATAACATTGTTCATAAGTTGTTTTCATCTTATTTTCATAAGTTCTTCAAAATAACCAATTTTTATTTATGTATTTTAATTCAAAGTTCCAAACATAACATAATTATAATAAAAAAATTATTCATATTTATTTAAATAGGTCGATATGTTAGACTTAAAAGACTTTTTAATAGCCCTGAAGTTAGCCTTTTTTAAAAAAAACTAAATAGGCTTATAAAAAAACTAGGTATTTTCTATTTAAAAAAAAACTTGACCTGCCCTGAGCCTGTGTAGGCTAGGCCCGTGAGCCCCTGTTATCGGTCTGGTCTATTTCCACCCATAGACATGGTGCACTTTAGTGAATTTTTGAATACTGTAAGGTACAATGCATTTAAGTGGAATACAGAATACGATAAGGTATCGTGCACTTAAGTGAAATATGGTACCCCATAAGGTACAATGCACTTAAGTAGCTTACAACTCACACAAGTGGTTATATAAATAGAATCCTTGTGCAAAAGCCTTTCATTTGATGCAAACTTGTTTTGAACTTTCTTTCTCTCAAAGTCTTCATTCGTAGCAGTTAGCACTAAGATTGAAGACACTTTATTCATGTGGACTGAGTTGAGGTGTTGTTCTACATTCAACACTACTGATCATTTCTCTAATTCTGCATCAAAAGTGTTAATCGTCACAAGAGATAATTGTTCTATCATTGATCATGCATCATTCGTAAGCGTTAGTTAAAAAATTTTTTTTGTTTTTCGTTGCGTTTTGTATAACGATTTCCCTTTCCAACGTTCCAAAATTGAAAAATAACACATGTGTAACCAATTTCAGAAATATGCAAATCGGTTACGCTATAGAAAAACTAAAATAGAAACAAAGTGCAACTTGTGTAGTGTATGTCAACCCATTACAATGTCAGACATACCGAAAACCTATTAAAATTATGGTATATCTAAAAAAAAAACATCAAAATTTGAACCGTACAAATGTAGCATTCTAAACTACCAAATATTTCAACACTGCACTTAAAATCTAATATACTAGAATTTTTAAAAATTTCGAAAACTTTTGTTGTTTCTCGAATCTTTCGAAATAAACGGTAGATAATATAAGATTTTCCAAAAATATCAAATTTTAGGGAAAATTGGATGTAAATGCATCAATTTTTTTTTTTAAAATTCAATAAAAATTTCCTAAAATTCTGATTTTTTTTTTTATAAATATGTTGTATAAAGTTTGACAAAAATTGTAACAATTTTCTAAAAATACTGATTTTTTCAAAAAATGTAATAAAAACTCATATGGCATATTTATATATTCCGTAAAATTGTTAAAATTTATGTATCATTTTTTCGTATCAATATTTATATATAACCATCAATTTCTTGCTTCAGACATCTCTCTCCAAAGTATTTTCTTTTTTACCAAAAATAATTTTTGGACAGGTAAATAAATATAAAAGATATTCTTGTCAATATTAAAATACGGAGGTGCAAGATTAAATTTGACCCAATATCGTTTCACTATTCCGGTTTGCATTGAACCGGTCGGTTTTAATAACACCGGTTAAATTACCTTACCTGGTTGCAATCCGCGAAGCTGCAATTTGATTTGAACGAGCGAAAGGGAAAAAAGTATTTTGGGTGTTTAGTTTCTCAGTACAAAAGTTTGTTCCCTCTTTCGATTTTTCATTCAATCGTTTCCAATTTCTTTCAAAGAACAGAAACATGGATGCGCAAGCCAAGAAAAGAGCATTGTTCCGTGCCAAATTGAACGCGCAGAAGAAGGACAAACGCATAGAATCCCCTCTCGTTAGGTTTATACTTCAATTTTACGCTATTGATTCAGCTCAGCTATCTCTAGTTCTTTCATTTCTCTATTTCTTTAGAATTAATTTTAGAATTGTTACTTTTGTTACCCTTTATACTGCCCTTTTATTGATATAGTTGATTTTCTGTTAACGTATATGATTTTGCATCTGATTATATTTATAGCTACTCATGTACTTGTTTGTGTTTGTTATTAGTAGCGTCGGCACTTCGTATCGGTGTTCGTAATATTATGGTGTTATTGTTATGCATACAGGTATAATGAATCTGATCAGCCTGTTTGTCGGGTTTGCGATGTTGTTCTGAAGTCTGAGTCGATATGGGATGCGCATCAAGTTTCTCGTAAGCATCGTGAGGTGATGATATATAGAATCTCGATTATGTTCTCTAAGTGATTTTTGTTTCAGAACTCTTTTATATTGTCTTAATTTTAAGCCCTTTTTTGGAAGGCATGCTTTGTTTCTCTTTGCATTTGTTTCACGCTCTCTCCAAAACAAGCTTACGTTAATGGTGTTATTATTTTGGTCAGGCAATAAATAATCTTAAAGCTAATGCGGCTGGGTTAACTAAGCAGAACAATGTAGAGCCGGATATTCCTGCTAAACGGCCTAAACCTGAGCAGCCTTCAGACTCGCCGTTCAAAATTCCTCAAAGTTCACAAGTGCCTAGACCTCAGTCATCATCATCAGTTCTTCCACCAGATTTTTTTGACAACAATGATACAAAGAAGATGAGATCGGGTAAAATTTGTTTTAGAAAAATGAAGTTGTAGCCTGCATGTGCTTATTTTCCTGTACATTTAAAAATATGGAGTTGCGCTTAAACACAGTCACAGACAAATACAATGATTGTTCCCAACTATGCATATTTTCTGTGTAGGTATTTAACACCCGGCTTATTCATTTACACATTTTTGAGAAGTTTAATTGGGGGATTAAGGACAAGTTTTAGGTGAAAATTAGAAAAGGTCATCCGGTGCAGTCCAGGGTTACAACTTGTTGTACTACACCAATCATACCAATTTGTGATCCTTGGTGCGGGCAATGTTTGAGTGATTGGTTTGATAATTGCACTATCTGCATTATGCCATAGCTTTATTTTCTCTGTACTGGGTTGTTTCTGTTAGCTTACGTTGCAGTAGTTTGTGTGGTTGTGTTAAGCTTTTGGTAGTTAGAATCTAGAGCATTCCTAGTCAGATAGTAACCCTTTGAACTTGTTTGAAGCTTCCTAGTCAAATAGAGTTGCTAACTGTGTTAAGCAAGCTTGGGCAGCACTACGAAAATTTGCTCTCTCTCCCTAAGTCATACCAGAAATCAGATTCAATACAAAAGTGTTATTTTTGTTTCATCTCAAATTTGTTCATTTTTGTAAAATTCTTTCTTATTTAATTAGGATTTGGAGTCATAAGTATAAATAAATATTAATGCTTAGTCTTATGTATAAAACCAAACCATAATCACGTCTCATCTTCTTTTCCATGCATCCTAGGCTCACCTCTGAACTTCCCACCCTTTTATTTTCATTATAGTTTGACCCCAGCTAGCTCAACTTCAACTGGTATTAGCTATCCTAGATAAAGTGCGGCATTATGATCAAAATTAAGTTGGACAACATTTATCCCAAATTCAGTCTGGCCTTGGCTAACCCTAGGTGCATTTTGGCCCTAACTATTCTAGATTTGGGATAGATTAACCGCCTCCCGTTATTAGTTATACTAATGTTGATTTCTCCGACCCCACCAATGACTTATGCTGTAATGAATTGTTCATGATTGTGATACAAACCAACCCCTGTTTCAATTTGTTTTTAATATCCAAAGTTTCTAGTGGTTTAAGGCTTCCAAATGTGCTTATTGCACTTGGAGAAGTTTTAGTTCCTTTATTTCTGCTACTGATCATTTTGAGTGTCATTATGCAACATTTCAACTAGCTCTTTAGGTCGACGATAATTTTTTTTGGGTAGTTTGATGATCAGATGTTACTTTTATCATCTTTACTTGATATATCAGATGGTGCTTGATCATGCTTTGAACTTCTTGTTGCTACATGTTTGATGATAACATTGATTGTTTTAATAACGACTCACCTTTTGTTTCATTGGCATTTTTGCTTCCAGAAAAGGACTCTGTCCATTCAGTGGACTCAGATTTCGGTAGAAACACAGGGGCTTCTGCTCAAAGTCTGGTGTCAAACTCGGAGAAAGATCACTTTCATGGAAATACTATTACAGAGTCAAAGGTTAATCAAGTAACAATGGAGAATAGGAATACATCGGTCAAGGCTATGGATACAGAGAACAAGCAAGAAAAAGGGGCTCTCCCTGAAGGTTTTTTTGATAATAAAGAGGCTGATTTGCGGGCACGTGGCATTAAGCTTGTTAAGCCAGATGTCAAGTAGGTTCCCAACTTATGTTGTTTGTGCATCCATACATTACTACCACATATAATAATCAAGAATCTAGTTTACATGGAATGGAAGTAAAGATAACAGAAATTTACAAATTTTACCTACTGTTATGGCACAAATTATTTCCCACAAATAATGAAAAAGAGAATAGTGAAATTTTCGATAGTTTTTCTCTACAAAGAGTCTGAGTTTTTGAAGTACAGGGACGAGAATTAGAACAAGAATAATTAATAGCATTATTTAATTGTATATCAACCTCTTTTTTAGTCATTTTAGTCAAATAAATAAAGGTATACTTGGTGTGTTTGTATTCACATTTTTAGTGCAGTATGGAGAACTCCCTTGCATATTTTTGGTTCTGGAAAAACTAGTTTATAGAATATTTCTATAATGTAGGTTGAAAGCATATAATGATATTAATTCCTTTTGAATGCTCTCATAGAGACGAATACAAAGAGTTTGAGAAGTTGATTCAAGAGGACTTGCGGGAGGTGGATGACCGGTTAGAAGAAGAAGAGGTGACAATCATTATTTTTCTTTTGCTATTTTTTCAATCAGACTTTTAACCTTTAGGATGTAGTTTATGCACTATAAATACGAAACTTGATCAAATGTTCGTCACTGAGCAGATTGATGCTGCAGAAGTGATAGAAGAAGCTGAATCTGCTGAGCAAAGGTATGTTATCTTTCTTATGCTTCATTCTTTTCCAATTTAACTTGTACATTTCTCCTAAACAACTCGCATCCATCTCGATATCTTCCTCTCTCTACAGAAAGTTAAAGGAGAAAGTGGAAATGTTGAAGAAGAAGAGATTGGAGTTAAAGGCTGCTAAGTCTGCAAAGCTTAGTATATCTTCTGAGGTTGTAACTAAAAAGTCTGTACATGAAGAGTCATCCAGTGATGATGAGAGTGGTGAGGACTTTGATGTTGACTGGAGAGCACAACACTTGTGAATGCATACTAAATACTATTTGTTGAATTCCCAACATGGAACATAACTTGTACATTCATATCACATTCTGTATGCACAATGATTTTGATTATCACCCTCTTGTCTGAAGTGAAGTTTCTATTTTCAACTGTCCTATTTCTGAGTTATCTTTGAGCTATTGGACACAACATGTTTTACTTTCTTTTTTCATCTTGTCATTTGGGAGATTTCTCTTGTTTCACTTTGTTTTACTTTCTTTTAACAAGTTATTTTTAATAAGAAAGGAACCATATCTTTCCTATAATAAAAAGATGGAGAATCATTTCTCCAAAACAGCAGCTAAATGACCAAGAGTTATTTCATCCAAGTGCTCTTGGACCAATGTTGTAAATTATTTACTTAATTATTTCTTTATAAGTGTTTATGTTTTTGAAACTTCTTTTGTTGATTATTACAGATTTCATTAAAATCAATATTTTACCAATATAATCTCTATTGAAGTATAAAATATAGCTGCGAAACATATATAACAGAAATAGTAAGCCATTTTGGTATTGTAAGCGATAATCATGTTTAAGAATTAAGAGAAATAGTAAGCCAATCTGTACCAGTATAAGAGAAAAAGGATATTTCAAAGTATACATTTTTCACACAACTAATTTTTAGGTCCCTTAACTTAATTAAACGTTATGTTTTAATCCCTTAATTAAAAAGTGTTACAAAGTAGTTTTTGAATCAACATTATGTTATTTTAAATAGTCTCTTCCATTTGTGTTTGTCAAAAGAGTGTTAAGTAGTGGATTACGTAGTATGACATGTCAGTAAATGTAACTTGTTGACTTAACACGTGTTATATATGTCCTCTAGGGTTGATTCTTTATCTTGTAGCTTTCGTTTTTAAATTTTAGAGTTGAATCTTCATCTTTAAGCTTTCGCTTTCATATCGTTTTCATTTTCTAGGCTTTGTTTTCTTTTTCAATGTCAAAAAATGCAAGTAATGTTTCAATGTTAAACAATCTAAGCTTTGGAACTGTTAGATCTGTGCTTCGTAGAAACATTAGGGTGAAGTGTTTTTGCCAAGATGAAAATGTTTTTCGTACTGTCAGTGATATAAACAATGTGAACTATGAGAGAAAATTTTAGGGTTGTCGAAATTATAGAAATCACATGGATAATGATTGTAATTTCTTCAAGTGGCCACTGTTGACGTGGAGCGGCGAAAGAGACATAATCACATCTTAAAGCAACTGCCTGGGCACTTTGTACGTGATGCTTTGGCAGAATCTGGGATTTCTGATGGGCTGCACCTCAATGAGGCCTTGCAAATTTACTTGACTGAACGACACCTCATACTTCGTGGTTCTCCGAGTGAGCTCAATGACGATGCTAGCAGTGCCAAAGTCTCTGTTTCGAAGCGAAAACAATATCCAGTTTCTTCAAAGGATGGGACTTCTACAGTATCAACTGATCAGTGGAAAACTGTTCAAGCTCTAGTATCTTCTAAAAGTGCAAAGGGTGGTGCTAGCATTGAAGAAATTAAAGAAGCCATCTAAGTATTGTTACAATTACCTAATAGTGTATCTAATTTAAACTCTACAGGATGTGATGAATCTGAAGGCAGTGTTAGAGACCTACCTGGCCTAATCACAACAAGATTGAAGCAGTGGAAGGCATGCCTAGGTGTGAAGAATGTAGAAGAGCAAAGAGACAAAAGTTAAGTGAGGAAAGAAGCTCATTTGTTCCAGGTGATGATGGAACATGGTGGGTGAAGAAGAGTTTGAAATCCTCTGAACCTCTTAAAGTTGACCAGTCACAAAAGACAACCAAGCAGGTTACTAAGAATCGTCAGAAGAATGTGCGTAAAATGAGTCTTGCTCAACTGGCATCTTCTAGAATTGAGGGTAGTCAAGGGGCATCAACTAGTCATATGTGTGATAACAAGGTAAGCCGCCCTTACCATAGAAGTGCTGTAGACGGAGATGCTCCAAAGTCTGTGGATAGCATAAGGACAAGTAACTCTAGGGATATTGTTTTTGTTGGCAAAGCGCTGACGCGACTTCGTTTTGTTGAGAAAAGGCTTGTAGCAACTTGGCTTTTGACTGTTGTTAAGCAGGTGATTGAAGAGACTGAAAAAAGTATTGGTAAAGTTGGACAATATGGCAGGGCTTATTCTATGGTGGATGATAGAAGCTCAATACGGTGGAAACTTGGCGAAGATGAACTTTCTGGGATACTTTATTTGATAGACATCACTGATGGTTTGGTATCCGGTGTCAAGTTTCTCCTATGGTTGATGCCAAAGGTTCTTAGTGGCCCCAATTCTACAATTCATAGTGGGAGAAATATTCTGATGCTACCAAGAAATGTGGAAAACCAAGTTTGTGACGTGGGAAAGGCCTTTCTGCTATCATCACTTAAAGGTTTGCTCTTCCCTTCATTCAACTTTCCCTTCTAATTTATGTGGTGTTAGCGGCTTTCTTTAATAGCTAGCTGAGTACCTTTAAAATGTGGGATGTACCTGGTAAACTATGATCCTTTGTTTTTGTTATCTGGTATCAAATTAGATTTGCTTTGCTCTCATCTACTCATAAATTCCTAAACAAAATCATATACTTACGAGTTAATAACAATAGTTCTTATTAAGAGTTGCATTACATGAGATATGGTCTAAACATATGTTTGTAAGTGGGGTAGTCCCACCTTACAAACCGGTTTCTGTTGTTTTATGGCTATTCTGTGGTTGTATTTCTCATTCGAGTTTTTTTATGTATGTCATAGGGTCATGATAAGAGTTTTGATACTCCTGTGAAAAAGAAAAGTGGACATATGCACAATAATGTACACAAGTGGAACTACAAGGGAGTGTTGATATCCAATGAGAGCATTATTACACTCTTAGCTGGCATAACAAAGCTACTAAATAGTTACAATGAAGAGGTAGTTTTCTTTTATCATTTCTTTTTCTTGCATTTATATGATCATTCAAGGGACTCCAAAATTCCTACATCTTTTCTTATAAGCAAACATTTCGATCTTTTACGAATGCTCCCAAGTGTCGTCAAACGCGGATTGCAAAAAATAGCAAGTAGATCAAATTATACTATACAACATTGCTATAGTCCTTGTTTGACAACATTTTGTACTAAGTAACTTAACGCAAAAGAATAATAATTTTGTCCAAATTTCTCTACACTAGAGCCGTATAGCTTTTATGTTACAAAACTAAATTGCTCCTAAAATGCTATTTTTGGTTTTTGGATAATGAATATTTTGCTATCCTATAGTTTGCATTCCTCATATCCCTCTTATCTTGTTCCTGCTTGCAGTTGAGTGATAAAGATAGTTTCCTATCATACCTTCCACTTGCACACATCTTTGACAGGGTTGTTGAAGAGGCAATGATATGGGTTGATACTTCAATAGGTTTCTGGCGTGGGGTGAGTTTACATACACACACACACATATATATATATTTCATTATTGAATGAAGGCAGAAAGTGATTATAGTATATTGAATTTAAAAAAAAAATTAATTTCAAGTAAAGTCAATTTTATATTTGATGATAATATGAGCACTATTTATTCAGTGTGGCTGCAGGATGTCAAATTGTTGATGGAAGACATTGCTGAGTTAAAACCAACTATTTTTATTGCTGTTCCTTGTGTGCTTGATAGAGTGTACACATGTATTTTTTTGTCATTGTTGAAAGTTTAGTGATCTTTCCTACATCATGGGATGTTTATGATAAAATTATGATTTCATGAAGAGCAATACTATACTATTTAAGTTAGTTTTTAGTCATTGAAGTGGTCTTTTTCTTGAATTCCTTATTTCTTGTCTACATTTATTTGAACAGTTTTTCCTCTCACCAATAATAGTAATAATGATGATAATAATAGTGCAATGAAAATCTCAACCTCCATCTGTTACACAGGTTTGCAACAAAAGCTTAAGATTGGGGGCTTTGTGAAGCAGGCTATGTTCAATTTTGCCTACTCATTGTAAGTACTATGTTTTTGCATTAATAGAGTTATATGATGCATTACTGTATGAGTGTTCATATGTAAATCAAAGCACACAAAATCTCATTTAGAAGATGATGACGCATTGCAATGTTCTGACAATACAAACTATGAAATATGTTGCAGCAAGTTGCTTAACTTGAAAAGAGGGCAAAAACATGATTCAGCGTCTCCATTATTTGACAAAGTTGTATGTAATAAGGTGATTGTAGTTTCATATATTTTAACTCAATGTTGTCTTGGTCCGAACAAACAGCGACTGTAACAAAATTTTCCTATACTACTGATAATCATGTTTTTGAAACATGGTCATGTAAAAGATGCTTTAGGGGGTAAAGTACGTATTATTTTGTCCGGAGCTACACCTCTGTCTAAACATGTTGAAGGTTTCCTGCGTGTGGTGACTTGTGCTCATATCCTACAAGGATATGGTATGTTCTTTCTCTAGATTTGAATTATCATAAACTTTTGTTACCTTTATGTGTGAGATTACTGATGTATTAAGTCAGCATAAGTTGGTTTTAGAATATGGACTTAATTTTGGCTGTTGTAGGTCTTACTGAAACATGTGCCGGATCCTTTTTGGCAATACCAAACGAAATAGATATGTTGGTACAGTTGGCCCTCCTTTACCATATCTGGAAGTGTGTCTGGAATCTGTGCCTGAAATGGGATATGATGCACTTGCAACCACAGCAAGAGGAGAAATCTGTATGAGGGGAAGTAGTGTATTTTCAGGGTACTACAAACGCGAAGACCTTTCGAAAGAAGTTATTTTCGATGGATGGTTTCATACAGGTTCTTTCAGTTGAAGTTTTGATGATGTTTATATGTTGTTGCAGTATATGGTACTGTTTTATTCATGTATGATTTATTAAACAGGAGATATTGGAGAGTGGCAACCTAAAGAAAAAATATATATGTTTTAAAATTTTGAGTTTAAAATTGTCAACTATCAACACTTCAAAAAAAGATTGACCAAAATTACTTCACTGCCCT